TAAACGAATAACCTCGATATTCAAGACTTCGTTGATGTATCTCTGGGCGTTTAAGTTGCCGTGTATAACAATAAGCCGGGTCTTTTGTCCGCCTATTATCCCGCCCCATACCATGACGCTTCACCACCGAAACGATCATGCTGTCAAACACAGACATGTGCAAAACTTTCGCCCTTTCGACGGTACATTCTTACACGGCCGTCGGCACTGAGATTGTAACGAGACTCGTCTGAAAACAGGACAGTATTCCAGTCACGCCGACGTCAGTGACGGAGCGCACGTGCCCATCTAATACGGGCCTGACGATGGCGTAAAGTGACAATACCGCCTCTATATGGGCGTCGCGCTCTAATCGGGCGTTGTTGTGCGCGCAACCGATTGCGAATGGTTTGTGCTCGGGCGCGGTCAAGGTCGCCGGTCTGAACCTGTCACATACGCGAGTTAAAACAATTGCACGGTCGTCCCTTTGGTCAGTTGCCCTTGGCCTACCTGGCCTTGGACGATCGTGCGCATCACCTGTTAGTCTATAGCGTCTATGAAGTTCATTATCTGTGTTGCGACTGCAGTTTAACGTTCTACTTACAACAACAACAGATGTCCCGTCAAGCAGCATTCCTATTGCTTGATTTCTCTCTGCTTCTGATAAACGTGGCATTGTTAAAGATATCAATTTTAGGTGTGAACAACACTAAATTGTCACTGGATACATTATAGTGCCTTACATCACTGTCTATCTGACATCGTTCAGTATGCACGGGGTTCACGAGCAAAATCTAAAATTGAACGCTAAGCTGCATTCCACTGACAATACGCGATCAAAACAAAAAAACAACAACACGTATATTGTATCTATAGTACATGAATACAATATACACATGTTTTGATTTAAGTCACAAATTAGAAAACATTTAAAAGAAATAAAGTGTCAGGTTTCTATTTTTGTTGAGTATATATAGTGGTTAAGATAAACGACAACACGTGAAGGTGTATCTTTATATGTTATGATTCCGATTTATTTACTTGCAACTATTAAAAGATAATTTTTGTATCAATTTAATAGCAGTTTCTTGCATCAGTGTTAAACTACGTCTTGCAATACAAACATTTTTCAAAGCTGAAAGGAAACTTATTTGATTAAAGTCATTTATAATGCTTTGTGTTTCCTTTTGATAAATTAATGTGATAGTGAGATAGTATTTTCTTTCACCAAGTATTTGCTGTTTTCATTAGCGCTTATCGTTTTATGTTTGTTCAACAAGTTAATTGACTTTTTGCATGTCTGAACAACTGGTAATTGAATTTCGTAATGAAATTATATACAATGATGTTGGTTATTTTCCTAGTTGCACTAAAATCCAATCACCTTCAATATTGCATAATTATAAACAATGAACTCTTCAAAGTTTAACAATTATCCATTGTTATCATGTTATATGGTTTATTTGTTTTGACTTTTCAATTAACTTTAACACATATTTTTTAAATCTAATCTATTTTTTTATAAAATTGAAGATAAAACGTTATGAACCAGGTAGGAAATTATTTTTTTAAAGTAAACACGTTTTGGCATATTTATATCTATTATTTGAGCTTGGTGATTAAAAATGAATAAAAATCCATTCATGCGTTCAGTTTATTCCTATTAAAAGTGATTAAAATGTTTAACAGTACATCAAGGAATACTGAAGAAACATAGAACATGAAATATCTGTTAAATATTATAGATCATCAGTTGACATTTAAAGTTTATATCAAAAGAAATATGTTCACCACAGGCTTGTACCTTTATATGTAACTCAATGAATAATACATGTCTTGTCCGTTGAAACAATATCTAAGTAAAGTTTTTTTTGCAATGTTGTAATTCTGAACTGTTGCAATGTTTTATTTTGTAAATATTGACATTAATTTAAAATACACCCGATAACTGGTTGAAAGTAGATCTATATATTTATATATTATCTGATTTCACTATTTAGAATGACGGTGTTTTATCCTGCAATCGACTGCTGCACAATATATTATAGAAAATTATGTCAATAAAAAGAGACAAATAAGAAACATAACAACCATTATGTCACAATTATCTCGTGGAAACTGCATATTTTACTTGTATGAACCTGTTCATGGACGGTACTGTAAAGTGCAAACTACCGTCCACGCCCCATAGCACCGTCTTAAGCAGAATTCAACATTTAACGTAACACTTGATTTCCCAGGCTCTATAAAGCTGTACTCATCCCTCATCTTACAGACTATTCCAAATATGTGTTACATGAAAAAAGGACTAAACATTCGGTTCTTAGAAATTGCATCTATTTTGTCATCAGTAACAATTTGACACTGTGTCCTACCTTGTTATCAGTCTTTCAATGCCTGTTTGCTTGTTTGCTCACTTGTTTACTTAGTATCTAGACCAAACTATGTCTTATGTGAGTATACTTTCAAAATGACATTATCTTAAAACAGCAACGTTTTCAATGCTTACAAAATGATGAAATTCAAAGGATTTTTCTTACGTATTGTACAAAAGGTTTTATTATAATTATTATCAAATAACAAATACTTTCGCTAGGCCTCCTTTGATATTTTTATAAATCAACTTATTATATACCTCGTCCGTAAAATTGTCTCAACAATCAAACTGTGACCAATAATTTACTACAACAATAAATTGCTTTCTCCTTTGCTGTTGACGCCAACTAAGATTTTTGTCTCGGTGTTACTTGTGGCGTTTCAATAAGTTACGCATTAAATAACATGTTGCAATAAAAATGACTTTATAATATCGTCGGATAATTTTGCTATTTGTAAAAACGCAGAAAATACTATTTTATGTCATTTTTAAGTTACAAAGCAAAATGTATGGAATTAAAAAAACTCATTGCAATTGTTTAAAACATTTTTTACACTTACATCCATGTATATACATCTCGAAATCATACTTAATAAAATAGTGGTGCATTTCATTAATAATATTTGTCATATGTTGCGGTTCGGACCGGAATATCCGTCCCGAGGGGACCCGCCCATTGGGCGGTAACGAGGCTTGCCGAGTTACCGCCCATGGGCGGGTTCCCGAGGGACGGATATTCCGATCCGAACCACAAACATATGAAAGATATTTGTTCTTGCATATTCTGCCATATTATTTCATATTTAAAATGGTTTACCTCAATATGATATATGTTCATGGAAATTAAAGTCATTTCATCCATAACTATTTTCTTACAATAGCGTATGAACTTACAACTTAAAGAACAACGGCGAAATGACGTCATCCTAAGCACATATTTCCCTTTTTAAATGATGTCATTTTAACGCGGTTCATTCATAAAGTGCGCTAAAATGACGTTGTTGTTTGGCACGCGACTCATCTGGCACCCCCCATGCCAGATGAAATTTCCGGCATGGGTAAAACTCACGGAAACGCCAGTCTGCTATGCAAGAAATGTTTTTCTAAACTCATAATATGATTTAGAGATAAACATTTAACGTAATCAAAGCATATCATATGCCCTATAATTGTTTTGAAATCATGCAATTTTTATTCATATTTAATACATTTTGAGTTACATATATCTATTAAGCACATAATTTATGTCAAAAGCGTAACCTTTAAACATTTATGACAATCATCATTTCGTTAGTGAATATTATAAATAAGCTTCAGATGAAAAAAACAGAAATTGTTCCATATAAACGTTATTCTATGAACAATGCTTGGGTGTTTGCTCGAAATGAATAAAGTTCTACTATTTTCTGCTGCTATCTGCTTTTTTTAGTTTCAGAAATGTCGTTTATAGCATAATAGCATTACAAGAAATTAAGTTTATTACGAGTATCAGTGAGAACTGTTTAAAGATTTGTGTGTCGTAAAACTGATGTCTTAAGATAAATCGTTATACTATATTTAATTTAACGTTTTTATTCTCTATTACTATATAATTATTATATTGTGATAAATATCACAGCGCGTGTAAGTCATTAGATGTGCAGTTTATATATTATCTGACATCACTATATGGGTGGGGTGATGGTATTTTATAGGAAATAAATCTTTCAAGATTTATATAACAGTGCAATATATAAACACAGAATTGTTTGAAAGAGAATAATTTATTTTATGCTTTTCTGTGGATTACTGATTTATCCGTGAAAATTATATTTGATAATTTCACAGTGAAAATTATCAAAATATAATTTCACACTTTTCAATGACGGAACTACTTTTTTAAGATTATCCCCATGTGGTACCTCAATTTTATTTTTGCTGACTATTCCGACAATGTCAGGCTGCTTTGTGGAAGTGGTTTCGTATATTGGAAGTAATAATACAAAGGCGTTGTGTAGGTTCGATCTGTATTGACTCTCGATTCAATGTGTACAAAATCTCAACAGTAATATATAAACAATAACAACATACGTCAGAAGTGACGTTGACGTCAAATAGCGCGGTAAGACGTAACGTAGATAATAGCGTACATATATGTAGTTATCTTGCGGACATACTGGGGGCCGCGAAATGTTTAACACTTATTACACAAAGATAAAGAATATTTAAGCAGTATGTTCAGAAGTAACTTATCAGCATACAATATTAAAGAGTAATTTATATATAAGCGTATAGTCTTTAAGCAGTTCATTTGGCAAAACTATTATGGTTACTTTCGTAATTAAGCTTTAAAATACAGTCTTTTGAAGTGTCACTTTGTATGAATATTATTTCATAGTTAAAGTTCAGTAACTTCCAAAGGAAAAAGTTTCACTATCGGTCTATTGGTAACACCACTGTCTGTTCTAATTTTCGCCGACCGAACGAGTCCATCTCTCCCGTGCACGAGTTGTTCAACGACCGCCAATTTTCATTGTGCACGTGGTACGTCATCGTGAACTTGTACTACGTCAAACTGATATGGATTGTTTATTTTTTCCGGATGTACGATGTTGTTCACGAAGAGCAGTTAGGTAATCATGTCTCCATCTCTTACGGAAGTCTTCTATGATTTTAATCTGAACTCTGGCACGTTGTGTGTAATGTTCTGTTGTTTCCCAATGCTCAAACTTAGGTCCGTTTCATCAACAGTGTCATGATACGGTAATGTGGTAATGCGTCTACCATATAAAAGATGGGCTGGTGTTAATGGTTCTGGTTCTGGGCGATTGCCGGACGAGACATATGTTAACGGACGGTCATTCATAACGGCTTCTATCTCGGTTATGACAGTCTGCAAAGAGTCGTATGTAACGTAGGTACGGCCTAGGGTTTTCTTGAGAGCTGTCTTTGTGAGTCCAATTAACCTTTCCCACCATCCTCCATACCAAGGTGCACGCTTAGGAATAAATTTCCACGTGGTACCATGACTTGTAAGTGTGTCATGTACATGTCGGGACTCGAACAAACGTGTTATATGGTTGGATGCAGCCATAAATGTTGAAGCATTATCAGAGATCATGACATGTGGTAAAGATTTTCGGCTGCTGAATCTTCTAAATGCTTGTAGAAAGGAGTCTTCTGTCAAATCTGGCACGAGTTCTAAGTGCACCGCTCGTGTGGAGGCACGCGTAAATAAACAAATATATGCTTTTGATTCCATTCCGTCTTTAGTTCTGACATAAAGTGCGCCTGTAAAGTCTACACCTGTCACTGTAAATGGCACGGTATCTTCTACTCGATATCTGGGTAATGGAGGAGGATCTGGGGGTGAGTATGCTTGGCCCACTACCTTCCGGCAAGTGACACATTTGCGAAGAATTGTCTTTACACATTGACGAATAGCAGGTATCCAATACTTCTGTCGTATATAAGTAATTGTAGAATTTACTCCAGCATGTAGTATTTTTTGATGGTAATGAAGTACAATCAAACGGGTCAATTTATGTTTTGATGGTAACAGGTAAGGAAATTTCGAACTCTCGACATGGGGCATTGTGAATTCGACCTCCGCAACGGATTCCGCCATCGTTATCTAAAAATAGTCGAAGTTGTTTGACAAGCTGTGAGCGGGATTTACTTGATCTCATGTTGCTGATCTCTCCTCGATAAGTACTGGACTGACAGTCTATTAGCCATGTTTTCTCAGCTTGAAGTAATTCATTGGGGGACAGGGGTTCGAGTCTCTTTTTAGAACTTCTGCTGTTTTGTATGAATCTCATCACATATGCAGTAACACGTAATAGTTTCTGGTATGAACCGCATCTGTCAATATCAATAACTCTATGAATGCCTTGCTCGCTAGTTGTGGTAACAGTACTGGTAGTGCTAGGGTTTGGACCGGAAGTGTTGGTTTCATGACCGGAAGTGTCATATAAGGAAGCTGTGAGCACTGTTGCATCTTTTGGATTCCATGTAGGCCATTTTGATTGATTGTTGATCCAGGATGGTCCATATTGCCAAAGGCTGCTATTGACAAACTGGGTCGCTGTTATACCACGGGTAAGTAAATCTGCTGGGTTAAAGTTGGTTGGACAGTATTTCCATTTCCGGTCCCCGGTCAGTTTTTGTATTTCTTCGACTCTGTTCCTCACGAAGCGGGGTAAAGTTTAAACTGTTTCTAACCAATGTAAAACAATCTGACTGTCTGACCAAAGATAGAAATTAGTGTGTTTTAATGTCTTCTTTATGTGGCTTAAAAGTCGAGCACCTATTACAGCTGCCATTAATTCAAGTCGAGGTAAAGTAAGTTTTTTAAGAGGTGCCACACGATTCTTTGCCATAATAAGTGATGAATTTTGACCATTGGAAAGGTAAGCTGCAGCTCCATATGATGACTGGCTAGCATCTACAAACACGTGTAAGGTAGTGTGTGAATGGTCGTCTGCTTGTCTAATTTTCTCGTCTGCTCCGGGAAAATAGCAACGTCTGTATTGAGTGGTGGATAGTGTAGTCAAATCTGCAGCAAGATTTTTCCACCTCTTTTGTATATTTGCTGGAAGTGGAGTATCCCAATCAAACTTTTCTTCCCAAATTTGTTGAAATATAATCTTAGCACGTACCGTAACCGGACTAAGTAGACCAAGAGGATCGAACATTTTTGACGTCTGTCGCAAGATTTCTCGTTTCGTTGTAGTATCTGTGACTGGTATATAGGTTTGTTGGAAAGTCAACATATCTGTATCTGTATTCCATCGCATTCCAGGTATCTTTGTGATTTTATCTCTATCTTGTACGTCGTAGTTTAAGGCTAAATTTCGTAGTTTCTGGCTATTTGAATTCCAAGAGCGTAAGTTAAAGTTTGCAGACGACATAAGCTTTCGTGAATCATGGAAGTAAGCAAGTGCCTGGTTTTCATCTTCAAAGCTTGACAAAACGTTGTCCACGTACAAATCTCTTCTTAAAATACTACTGACCCATACATCACTGTTACTTGCTAGATGTTTTAAAATCGTTGCATTAAGAATGAACGGGGAACATGTTGCACCAAACAGAACTACTTTTAACCTGTAGGTGATCAAAGTACTGTCGGGATTTTTGGGGTCACTTAACCAAAGAAATCTTGTTACATCTTTGTCTTCTTCTGCAAGCTGTATTTGTAGAAAAGCCTTCTCTATGTCGGTAGTAACAGCATATCTGTGTAACCGAAAACGGATAAGAATTTGAGTAAGATCGTTAAGCTCTGGTGGCGTAGACTTCAAACAGTCATTTAAGCTTGGTTGGTCACGTGACTGATGACAACTACAGTCATATACGATGCGCATCGGTGTTGTGACTGAGTCTTTCTTGACGCCGTGGTGGGGAATGTAATGTATCTTGTGTTGTGGTGTGATACATTCGTCGACCTTCTCAATAAAACCTCTCTTTTCTTGATCATTGATTATTTCTCCATACGTCTGTAGAATACTAGGGTCTTGACGCAAACGTCTGATTGCGTTTTCAGTGCGTTTCTTGGTGATGTCATAATTCGTTGGTAAGATAGCGTGATCTTCTTTCCAAGGCAGTTTGGCTGTGTAACGTCCGTTATTGTTGGTGATTGAATCACGTTGGTAGTTTTCTAGGTATGTAGCCTCAGGGTTCTCTTCTTCTTGAGATATACCAAGAGACTCGAGCTTCCAAAATCTCTCAATATCAAAGGAATCTGGGGAGGACGTTAGAATGTTCAATAAATGGGTGGACGTTTCTTGTGCGGGAACTGGAGGCTGTTGGGATGTGGACGCTGTAAGTGTAGAAACCGGAAGTTGATGTTGTCTTGACGCTGGAAAGTTGGAAACCGGAAGTGGACCGGATAAAAGATATCCAAGTCTCGACTGCACCGCTATTGGACCATTCCCTCGGACTACCTCATCTTGAACAATTTTCCAATATGAATCTGCTCCAATCAGTAACGATATCTCAAAATCTATGTCATTTGTTACTGGATGAGCTAGCTTTAAACCATGCAAGTATGGAAGGGCTGATATATTCTGATTAAAATTTCGCAGCGGTAGGGCTATCTTTGGAACAATCAAAACATCAATGCATATTTTCTCATTGTCGTCTGTAATAAGATGTATAGAACATTTTCTCATGTGTCGTACTCTTTGCCTAGTATCACCAAACGATGCTAAATGAACGACTTCACTTCCGGTCTGCACAATTTGTAGTTTCTCCGCTAATTCTTCAGTGACAAAAGAACGCTGAGCTCCCTCATCAAAAAGAATATTTGTTTCCAATGAAACGCTGTTATAACATATCTGTGCAACGGCTGTCTTCAGAAGAACGTCATGTCTTAGATGAGTGGTAGAGTGTAGAATTGCAGCCTCGGGTTGATTTGAAACACCGGAAGTAGCTGGTATGGTGAAACTTGCGGCATTGGGATTCAGCTTTGAGTTTGATTCCTTAGCAGATTTGTCACAGATACTCGAATGATGTTTGCGCTGACAGTGACGACATCTATTTGTGGAACGACATGCCGATACTTGATGGTTCCATAAACAGTTAAAACACAAATGTTCTCTTTTTACAATATCTATACGTGATTCATATGATGTAACCTTTCTGCACTCGTTTGGGGAATGTTCATGATTACAAAAAGGACAAACTTTCTTGAAAGTTTTCCGAAAATTGACGTCTTTCTTACGTTCATTTTTACGTTCATTTGTACTTTGTCTGGTTCCAGTAAAGAATGACGCTGTGGGAATATGAACATCAGGTTCACGGTTGTTAATATCAGTAGTAGAAATACCTGCTTCCATGAAAGAAATTTCTTTATAGATAGCTGACCTTAACTCTTGTAATTCCCAGTTTACACTGCGATGTTCACGTGCCATATTTTGCTTCATTATGCCTGGTAACTTATCTAAAATTATTGGTATTAATAAGCTACCGTAAGATTCCTGTGACTGCCAAAGTGATTCTAAACCTCTGATAAAAGTTTCCATTTTATCATAAAAACATTGTAAACTTATTACATTGTTGCTAGGTCTTGGAAGTTCAAGCAAGGACTGCATGTATCTATGAATTATCTTCTGTGGTTGTCCGAAGCGCTCCCTTAGTAGACTTACTGCCTTTGAATAGATCGCATTCGTCAAAGGAAACCCGTCTATACACCGTGCTGCTATACCTTGAACCAGAGATCGCAAGTAGTTGAACTTCTGAACTTCCGATAACGTAGAATTCAGATGAATAGATGACTCATAAGAGTCCCAGAAAGTCTGCCAGTTGGTAAGATCTCCGTCAAAATTAGGTATGGTAAGTTTTGGGAGTTTATGTTGCGCAAATGTACTCGAACTCGTATGTCTAGGTACCATAGGGTTATCTTCTTGATCAACGGAACTATTGTTTGTAAAATCTTGAGTATGCTTCCGGTAAGTCTCGCTTATCTTCTGAATCCTCAGATCCAAATCGTATGAATATTCTTCACTTTCCACGATTTCTGTTTCAATATCGTCACACTGATTTATGATTTTTTTATTCAGTCCTTTAATTATCGTAGCTTTTTCTGTCAGATAATCTTTGAGTGAGGAAATTTCTAGCGACGACATTTCCTCATTTTGATCAATTGCGGCTAATTTTCTCTGAACAATTCTGCGATGACCTTCTCTTGTTGAAATAAGCTTCTGTAGATTCATGATTAGTCAATAGCTATCCTGGTCACGGCACCAATGTGGAAGTGGTTTCGTATATTGGAAGTAATAATACAAAGGCGTTGTGTAGGTTCGATCTGTATTGACTCTCGATTCAATGTGTACAAAATCTCAACAGTAATATATAAACAATAACAACATACGTCAGAAGTGACGTTGACGTCAAATAGCGCGGTAAGACGTAACGTAGATAATAGCGTACATATATGTAGTTATCTTGCGGACATACTTAAAGAAAAGCAAAGCTGAAATTGATAAATAACTTACATATCAAAATTAATAAAAAGAAGAAAACTTACAGTATGTCACTTCTATTCATTCAAATTACCAATCACCAAATATCGTCTCTTTAATTTTTTGTTTCATTTTTACAGTCTGAAAAGTACATTCCTTCCACATGCAAAACTGCTCTTGATGACATTTGGGAATATTTAAGTATTCTACGAGCAATAACTGCCGTATGCTTTATGAAAACTTGAAAAGCAATGGCAGCTTTCACTCGAAGAATATGTAAACAACCCAGCGTTCGTAAGGCTTCCAAGTTTTCCAATTTCCTATCCACTTTTTTGAATGTTTACACATCTGTCCACTATCCATCTGTCCATCTGTCCATGTGGCTACGCCACTCGTGAGAATACTGTTTTAAAAGCCCACTCGATAAAATAAAATTTCATCTTACACACAAACAAACAAATATCCTCTATTTATTAGGATTTAATTTACTTATTACTATATTAATGGAACTTCAAAGTGTATAGTTCCGTGAATGTCATCGGTTTAACTAATCATTATGACGCACCATAATAAGTGTAAACTAATGTGACGTATATCCTCTGTAACATAGAAACTACGTGAGAATAACGGGCCTGTATCGCGAGAATTTCAGTACAATATAACAATATTATCTGGCCCATAAGTACAAACCGATTTTATCAAATTGCCTGATTATGAAATACTAAGAGAACTTTTATTAATGTGATATATATATATATATATATATTTATATTTGTAAAAAGTGTAATTTGTAATGCAAGATTACCGTAGACCGACAGCTTTTAAAGTAGACATTGAATGTGCCGGAGACAATTTTACGTTTCTAAGCAATACCGGGATGTCGATTTAACCATGTCGACTTGCTGTTAAACTAAGTTATAATAAAATTGAGACCATTGTTAAGATATAAATATCTTATTCTGAACTAATTCGTATTGTGTTACTTTGCATTTTGTGTCTTTACTTGTCTTAAATACAAAGGGTTTTTATATAAACCTTTTTGATGCAATCAGTTAAATAAGAATGCATTCCTCAGTTCTTTAACATTTAATGAAGCTTTTTTTTGTAATCAATCAATTTCTAATGCCAGTCACAGAAGCAGATTGCGGTTTTTATTATTAATGGTTGCAATATTGAAATACGGTTGATTGAAGCATTGATAAAACGCAACTGCCTCCAATTGACAAAAAAAGCAAATCACAAAATATTCAATGACGGCAAAACAAAAGATATTTTATTTAAGATATAATAGGTCAAAGGCTGCCTACCGCTAAAAGTTTTCCTCTTTCATAAACAATGTCAGTCTCCCTCTGTTTGCCCGAATCTGTGTTTTGAGTGCCCTTCTTGCTGTTTCTGACATATTAAGTACAAACCCCCCGTTCCGACTACAAACCTCGATCGTTGGATCCAGGTTATGTCCGCTGTCGATATCCGTTTATCAACGGCCTGTTTTTTTATCATGTACCTCTTCCATTTCATTTTCTAGCCTTGTCAGTTGCAGAAACACAATATTCAATCTAGACGTATGGAAAAGCCTGGTTCATGGCTTTGATTCAAAGCTCAGCTGCCTCATCAGAACTAGTAGAATCATAAACAACATATATCACACACGAAAATAAGATGTTTGTTGAATAAAAAAAAAGATTACAGTAAGGGTCATAAGTCATTAAATAGTACAATAATGGGTTTTAGATCTTCTCAATACACATACAGATGCATATAAAGATATAAATCTAAGGGGTAACTTTATGTGTAATGAAAGCAATTTGTTACGATATAATATGATATTTATCAAATATTTTTTAAAGCACAAACACCAATCGATTTGGAAAAGTAATGAGTTTCCATAACAACTATCATTTTTGTGAACATGTTGAAACAAAAATAAATGTAACATTGAACCGTGACTAAATTAATCACATTTAACGAGGTAACCGTAGGATACGGTAAAGCATGATCTATAAAAGTGGGGTTAGCATGCAACAAATAGTTTGAATAAAGGTCATATTTTAATATTGACAGAGATTGATAGTTTAAGCTCGTGAATGTTTTTTTTATCGAATCGTCTGATGACACATGTATCTCTTCAGTTTCTAAATACGTTCATCACTTTGTCATAATTATAACACATTTCGAGAACTTCAAATTGCAAGACTTGTGCTGAGAATATTTTGTCTGTTTACCCAGATATGCTTGTATGTAAAACAGAATATTGTTGTATGTCGCTTTGCAATCTATAAAAATGGATTTGAATTGAACGATTTTATTTACGTCATAGATTAAATTTAGTAACATTTGCTTTCACTCATCCCTGATAAATCTGTCAAGATATCTGACACATAAATACATTAATGGAATTAGTAAAAGTAGAAGGAAAATTCTGTGGTATATGTGGTTGATGAAAATGTGTCATTTCTTAATTTCTCTAACTACTTAATCAATCAAAGAGATTTTTTATGATATGTTTTCTCATTCATTTATTTTTAAAACGCGTACAATATAACATTAGATTTTAAATTTAAAGAAGAAAAAACGTCAGGCATTTAAATCAGTAAAGTTTGATTTTGAAAACAATTTTGATAAATCAAAAATAGATATTCAGAATTGAAAATGAAACTCAATATGACAGGAATGAAGAATCAAGAAAAACGTTCTATCAAGGCAAAGGTCCTTCTGCTTCGCAAAATAATATTTGCATAGTTTCATCTTTAAAGGATAATAAATTATATGCTTTGTATTGAAAAATCATACCTGTCCCCTCCATTTCACTTACTGAGATTTTAGTAACCACTGCATTAATCAATTTACTTCAAAACATATTAAATATGAAAATTATCAATATAATTTTGCAAAAATTGGATCTCTCAAGTTTAATATCTATTATAAACGAGAAAGTTAAAAAGAAATGAAAAACATGAAACTCTTAATATGTTATAAAATTTAGTTTAAATGTTTGAATGTGGTAAATGACATTATAGCATACACTATTTTTGATGACTTGTAACGCTGTAACGTTATATGCACAACAAATAGACAACATTTGATTATTGTTATGTGTTATTCTTTAGAGAATATTCTAATGTAAGATAAATTCCGATTTGTAGACAAGGGGAAGATGTCAATCATTTTAACGTCACCTTACTTCAATTTACGTTAGTATATGATCTAAATATAGCTGAAATCTCATTGGTCCAAACAGTAGTCAACAGAACTTTTTATAAAATCATATTCACTGGCTGAATTGGATTTTCCCAGTCTAAAAATAGATTGAGACTCATATTCAATGATCATACACCGTAGACTGTTAATTACGCGTGTTGATTAAAAAATAATTGTTGCTTTTTGTTCTTTATGGCATATTTCTCGATTAAAATATCAATACTTTACTATTATACTTAAAGGTTACACCGCAATGATGAGTATAAACTTGAATTATTTTTGTATGCTATCGCCTCGGTCAATATGTCATCTGCAGGTGAATATCACATCATATTCAATGCCTCACTAGTCAATAATTGTATAATATTACATGTCAGTGTACGTCTGACGTCCTCTATAACTGTAGTATGACACGTCTATAATTGTATCATGGCATCCCCGAAGATTTTGTCTGTGACATTTTGTGTCAATTATATAGCAAGTTATTGTCAATTGATTGTCCACGGAAATATTTGTATACAAAAAACAAAAAGCTAATAATTTACATCTTCAAGTGTCAATATATTTCTTTGAATCTGAACATAGTATGAATTAAAAATAACGCTAATAAAACACTGGGAAATAAATGTTAATATATGAATATATGTTTTCCATTCAACAAAGTCGAACAATTAATTTGATTGACTTAATAAAAAATAATGCTTTATTGCATCGAGTTGTGGTTTATGAAAGTACTATTTGAATTTAAATGGATCCTTAATGCCCTTATTGAAATACCATTTTACCAACCGTTTTATTTATAATTATCAGAAATAACGTTACAATATTGTTACATGTTTTTATACATTGTCATTCGCATATATAAATTATTGATATTGCATTGTGTTACTATGTTGAAGGACCTTTCTCATTTTTATAAGGGTTAATAACATTTAGTTTAAACATATTTTTTATTCATTATCATACACAGTACATTATATACAATCATTCAATATATACAATGTTGAAATGGATTAGAACGAAAGATATAAAATCTTATATAGTTCTTCTCCGACTCTCTTTTGAATAAACAACAAAGTGATGGCATCAATCTATTGAGACAATGTGTATGAATTCATATAATATGTTAGAGAGAAAAACACTTAAAGGGAAAAACAAGGTTAGAATAAAAACTTGATTTCAGAAAACAAATACTATAAATAATAAAACTGCAAATTTTCTGCCGCCAAATAATAATATTAAACGAATGATAACGAAATTTAAATCGCTAAATCGCCGATTTCTACAAATCAGTAGGCGCGGCCATGTTTGTGTATTGGCCGTATAAAAACAGGTGCGCGTGATGTCATTTCCCCACATCTTTAGATTTATGATAAATCTAGTTGAATCGTAGCGAAATATTTTCATATTAAAGTATTGACCAGACAATTTTATTTTCACAGGAGGTGAAGAGGCGATTTTTTTATTGTTCAAAATACGTAACAATATCAAAAAAAAAAAAAAAAAAAAAAAAAAAAAAAAGAAACAAATAAAAAATCAACGTCTAAAGGTCG